GTTGACCAGTTTTCCCAGCACCACTTGTTAAAGAGGTTGTCTTTTTTCCATTGTATATCCTTGCCTCCTTTGTCAAAGATAAGGTGACCATAGGTTCGTGGATTTATCTCTGGGCTTTCTATTCTGTTCCATTGATCTATATTTCTGTCTTTGTGCCAGTACCATACTGTCTTGATGACTGGCTTTGTAGTAGAGTCTGAAGTCAGGCAGATTGATTCCTCCAGTTCCATTCTTCTTTCTCAGGATTACTTTGGCTATTCGAGGTTTTTTGTATTTCCATACAAATTGTGAAGTTATTCGTTCTAGTTCTGTGAAAAATACCGTTGGTAGTTTGATAGGGATTGCATTGAATCTATAGATTGCTTTGGGTAGTATAGCCATTTTGACAATATTGATCCTTCCAATCCATAAACATGGTATATTTCTCCATCTGTATGTGTCCTCTTTGATTTCTTTCATCAGTGTTTTATAGTTTTCTATGTATAGGTCTTTTGTTTCTTTAGGTAGATATACTCCTAAGTATTTTATTCTTTTTGTTGCAATGGTGAATGGTATTGTTTCCTTAATTTTTCTGTTTTCTCATTGTTAGTGTATAGGAATGCAAGAGATTTCTGTGTGTTAATTTTATATCCTGCAACTTTACTGTATTCGTTGATTAGCTCTAGTAATTTTCTGGTAGAGTCTTTAGGATTTTCTATGTAGAGGATCATGTCATCTGCAAACAGCGAGAGTTTCACTTCTTCTTTTCCTATCTGGATTCCTTTTATTTCTTTTTCTGCTCTGATTGCTGTGGCCAAAACTTCCAAAACTATGTTGAATAGTAGTGGTGAGAGTGGGCACCCTTGTCTTGTTCCTGATTTCAGGGGAAATGCTTTCAATTTTTCACCATTGAGGGTGATGCTTGCTGTGGGTTTGTCATATATAGCTTTTATTATGTTGAGGTATGTTCCTTCTATTCCTGCTTTCTGGAGAGTTTTAATCATAAATGGATGTTGAATTTTGTCAAAGGCTTTTTCTGCATCTATTGAGATAATCATATGGTTTTTATCTTTCAATTTGTTAATGTGGTGTATTACATTGATTGATTTGCGGATATTAAAGAATCTTTGCATTCCTGGGATAAAGCCCACTTGGTCATGATGTATGATTTTTTTAATATGTTGTTGGATTCTGTTTGCTAGAATTTTGTTAAGGATTTTTGCATCTATGTTCATCAGTTATATTGGCCTGTAGTTTTCTTTTTTTGTGGCATCTTTGTCTGGTTTTGGAATTAGGGTGATGGTGGCCTCATAGAATGAGTTTGGAAGTTTACCTTCTTCTGCAATTTTCTGGAAGAGTTTGAGTAAGATAGGTGTTAGCTCTTCTCTAAATTTTTGGTAGAATTCAGCTGTGAAGCCATCTGGTCCTGGGTGAAGCACCAAGTCTTAACCAACGGATTGCCAAGGAAGTCCCTGTAGTCAACAGATTTTTAGCAAAGGCACCAAAGTAGTTTATGGGGAAAGGAAATTATTTTCAACAGGTGGTGCTGGAACCATGTGGACAAAAATAAGCTCTAAAATCTTACCTCACATTGTCTGCAAAGTTTAATTAAAAATGGATCACATAGCTAAATGTAAAAGCCAAAATTCTCATGTCATCCAAAAACATTATTAGGAAAATAAATAGTAAAGCAATAGACCGGGAGAAAATATTTGTAATTGATATATCTAATACAGGACTTGTATCCAAAATATTTAATAACCTATAATTTGATGTCTTTTTAAGTCAATGCCAAAGAATCTTCACATTACCAGACAATTGCACTCATTTCCCATGCTAGGAAGGTAATGCTCAAATGCCTTCAAGCTAGGCTTCAACAGTATGTTAACCAAGAACTTCTAGAAAAGGCAGAAGAACCAGAGAACAAATTGCAAACATCCTCTGGATCATAGAAAAAGCAACAGAATTCCAGAAAAAAATCTACTTCTGCTTCACTGACTACACTAAAGTCTTTGACTGTGTGGATCACAACAAACTGTGGACAATTCTTCAAGAGATGGGAATACCAGACCACTTATAACTGTCTCCTGAGAAAACTGTATGCAGGTCAAGAAGCAACAGCTAGAACTGGACATGGAACAATGGATTGGTTCCAAATCAGGAAAGGAGTATGTCAACACTGTATATTGTCACCCTGCTTATTTAACTTATATGCAGAGTATATCATGCAAAATACCAGGCTGGATGAAGCACAAGCTGGAATCAAGATTGCTGGGAGAAATACCAACAATCTCAGATATGCAGATGATACTGTTCTAATGGCAGAAAATGAGGAGGAACTGAGAGCCTCTTGATGAAAGTGAAAGAGGAGAGTGAAAGAGCTGGCTTAAAACTTCAACATTCAAAAAACTAAGATCATGGCATCTGGTCCCATCACTTCACGATGGAAACAGTGACAGACTTTATTTTCTTGGGTTTCCAATCATTGAAAGAGGTGACTAAGACCATGAAATTAAGAGATGTTTGCTCCTTGCAAGAAAAGCTATGACAAAACTAGACAGCATATTAAAAAGCAGAGACATCACTTTGCAGACAGAGGTTCATACCGTCAAAGCTATGGTTTTTCCAGTAGTCATGTCTGGATGTGAGAGGTGGACCATAAAGAAGGCTGAGCACTGAGAATTGATGCTTTCAAACTGTGGCACTAGAGAGGACTCCTGAGAGTCCCTTGGACAGCAAGGAGATCAAACCAGTCAATTCTAAAAGAAATTAATTCTGAATATTCATTGGAAGGACTGATGCTGAAGCTGAAGCTCCAATACTTTGGCCACTGGATGCGCAGAACTGACTCATTGGAAAAGATCCTGATGTTGGGAAAAATTGAGGGCAGAAGGAGAAGGGGTTGACAGAGGTTGAGATGGTTGGAGGGCATCACTGACTCAATGGACATGACTTTGAGCAATTTCCAGGAGATAGTGAATGACAGGGGAGCCTATACTCCATGGGGTCACACAGATTCAGACATGACTGAGCAACTGAACAACAACAAAACCTATTTAATGGCAATTTCCCTTTCTCCTCCCTTCAGTCTCTGGTAACTGCTATCCTACTTTCTATTCCTATGAATTTCACTACTTTAGGTATCTCATAAAAGCAGAATCATACAGTATTTGTCTTTTTGTGACTGGTTTATTTCACTTAGCATAATGACTTCAAGTTTCATCTATGTTGTAGCATATGACAGAATTTTCTTCCTTTTAAAGACTGATTATTAATCTGTCTATGAAGCTTTGGGTTGCTTCTATCTCTTGGCTATTATGAATGAACAGGAATGTTAATATATGCTGTGCACTTGTACGCAAATGCCCTACTCTCAATTCTTTTGGATATACATCCAGAACTGGTATTGCTAAATCATATGGTAGTTCCATTTGCACTTTTTCGAAGAACCTCCCTACTATTTTCCATAAGGGCTGAACCATTTTGTAATTTCACCAATACTGCACAAGGATTCTCATTTCTTTACATCCCCATCTATATTTTGTTCTTTCCTTTTTTTGATAGTAGCCATCCTAATGGCTGTGAGGTGGTATTTTGTGGTTCTGATGTGCATTTCTTTGATGATTACTGATGTTGAGTATCTTTTTATACGCCTGTTGAACATAGTGTATCATCTTCGGGAAATGTTTTGGTAAGTCCTTTGCCCATTGTTAAATAAGTTTATTTGATTTTTGGCTACTGAGTTGTAGGAGTTCTTCAGATATTCTGGATGTCTTATCACACATATGATTGGCAAATATTTTCTCCATCCATAGGCTGCTTTTTCACTCTGCTATGTCATTTGATACACAAAAGGTTTTTTTGTTTTTTTGACCATGCTGTATGGCACGCAGGGCCTTAGTTCCCCTCCCAGAGATCAAACCCGTGCCCTCTGCAGTGGAAGGGCAGTGTCCTAACCACTGGACAACCAGGGACGTCCCACATAAAAGTTCTTAAGTTTGATGTAGTCCCATTTGTCTGTATATGCTTTTGTTGCCTGTGCTTTTTGTGTCATAAACAAGAAATCATTCATTGCCAAGTCCAAGGTCCTGAATATTTCCCCCTATGTTTTCCTCCTAAAAGTTTTACAGTTTTGGTCTTAGGTTTAGGTCCTTAATCCATTTTGAGTTAATTTTTATATATGATATAATGGTTCAAGTTCATTCTTTTGAATGTTGATACCCAATTTTCCTGACACCATTGGTTGAACAGACTGTCCTTTTCCCACTGAGACATCATTGCACCTTTGTCAAAGATCATTTGACTATATACCTGAGGGCTTTTTAAAAGTATAGTTTTCAGAGCAGGTTTAAATTCACAGCAAGTACAGAATTCTCATGTATCCCTTGCTCCTCCCCAACCCACATGCTAAATACGCTTTCAGCTTCCTGATGTAAACTTAGATTATAAAACTTTCTTTTCAAATATATGCATGTAAAGCTACAGATCTTCCTCTAAACACTACTCTCACTGCATCTCATAAATTCTCTTAGGTCGTATTTTCATTATCTTCTAGTTCAAACCATTTAAAAATCCCCATTGAAGTGTTTTTTGACTTAGAGGTTTAGAATTACATTGCTTACCTTCCAAATATTTGTGGATTTTCTGACTTTTTGTTATTTCTAGTTTAATTCTGTTGTGGTTAGAGACCATATTCTAATTTCCAGCCTCTTAAATCTGAGACTTGTTTAATGACCCTGCATCACGAACTTGATGTAGTTTTGTTATGATGGGAAAACCGGTGGACTCAGACTGTCATTTTTTTTTTTTTCTTCCTGCTTTGGCTTTGTCTAGAGTGCACTGTGGTAGCACAAAACTAAGTTCTGCTATCTTAAAACAGTGTTCCACTCAGGGGTATGTCCTCTAAATTTACACTACAATGATTAGGATGCGGTTCAAGAAAGGAGTACCTCAAGGCTGTATGTTTGTCACCCTGCTGCAGCCCACGGGGTCGCAGAGTCGGACACGACTGAGCGACTGAAATGAAAGACAGTACTTTCGAGCAGCAGCATCGGACTGTTCGGGAACGCTTTCTACCCGTCACGGAATGGCAGGGCGGTACAACTGTTCTGAGTCCGCCACAGCTCGAGATTGATACTTCACGAGCCATCTGTGTATCTCTCGAAGCAACGGAAGTAGTACCCTCTTTTTCGGGGGTGGGGATTGACTCGTCAGAGGTGACAAAGCTAATAAGTTCTCAAAACTCAGAAGCTCTCTGAGGGAGAGGATATGTTAGGCAAAGCTCGAGAATGGTGGCAGAATGCCTCTTCCCGGCATTGAGACAGCAAGTCTCTTGCGACGTCTAACGAAACAGGGCCTCGGGCCTTCAACTCCGCGGCCCCATAACCCATCAGCAGGGAGAGCCTCCCGCAAGAACCTTTTCTACCTTCTTTCCCAGCAGCTCAAATTTCCAAGAAGAGGAACTGGGTATGGCAAAAAAAAAAAAGTCAGTCAGGGAACCGCCTGTCACATGACAGGAGGGAGGACCTGGGGAGCCTCTGTCAGCCTTGGCCCCGCCCCCTTGACGCCACCGCAGTGACCCCGCCCCCTCCGCCGTGGGGTGGAGCACGAGGCCCCTCCTCCAAACGGCCTCCCCTCCGAGGGCCAGTCTGGCCCGTAGGGCGGGGCGAGAGGCCCGGAGGGGGCCTGGTCTAGGAGCGGGCAGGAAAGGAAAGGACGGGTCACGTGCGGCCGGCGGCCTGAGGTCACGTGACGGGCGCCTGGGAGGAGGGAGCTGGGGCTAGGAGTTCTCCTGAGGGAAGAGGCGTGAAGTTGGGGGGGACGCGGCGCGGCGGCGGCGGCAGCGCTGACAATGGTGAGTGCACGGCGGCCCGCGCGCTCGCCCGCAGCCTTTGTCCCGCCTTTGGCGCGGCGGGACGGCCAACGGCGGGCCCGATGTCGCGGGAGCGGCTCTTGGGAGCGGCAGGAGGGGGTAGGCGGGCAGGGCGGGGAGCCCGGTTAGGCCTGTCTGGCCGCCGCGGGGCTTGGGAAGAGCGGGCTGCGCCGCTTCTTCCCGGTCTCGGCGAGGCCCGAGTACCTGCAGGTGACGAGGCGTTCTCCTGGCTTTGTCGGAGCCTCTGCCAGCGTTCTTCGATCGGCTATGGGGGGCCGTGGCTGGGTACTCGGACCCCGCCTCTGCGGGCCCGCCGGCTCCCCTTCTAAGGTAGCCAGACCTTCTGCTCCTCCTGGGGAGCCTCGCTTCCTTTCAGATGGGGTGACCCAAGAGTCCCCCAGTTCCGGACTCAGTGGACTTGGTCACTCTCTTCCAGAGTTGATCAGGCGCTTGATAAACTCCTTGAATCTTTTTTTTTTCTCTTTCTCTCTTCTTAAACTAGCATATGGTGACACCCTGCGATTTCCTGACCCCAGGTTAGCCTTAACGTTGACACTTGTAGAATGAGAGAGAAAAAGAAAAGGACGTTGGAGGGGAGGACGTGTTTAAGTCAAAGGCAGTAGTTTCGTGCCCGTTGGTTTAGACGTTGGCTCTCATTTCCTTCACCAAGCCATTCTGGAAACTTGTCTCTTTGGGATGTTGAACTGGCCTAGGGAGCAGAGGAGGGAGGGAAATCAGTACTTTCACCACAATTAGTGGGAAGCACAAGCGTGAGCACGATGGCGTTTAGCTTTGTGTGTGTTGGCGATTTCCTCTAGATTGGATCTCATTTGACTCATTTATGGTAATATTCATTTACTTGGTTCACTTAGCATGCATATGTTGAGCGCCTACTGTGTACTTTCCTTTAATAGTACCTGGTTTCCCAGAGCTCACCCAGTTCCATAATCTGCTTGAGATTTTTGGTTTAAAGACTAAGCTAGGTTTATTTTTTGAAAAAGGTATATTTGATAAATACATTTTAAAGTCAGGAATCGAGTTGCTTTAAATTAAAAAAAGAAAAGGAGCACAGAAATGTTCATTCTTAAACTTCGAGCCCTTTTCTCTTTTTTCCTCAGATATACTTAGGCGCTCCCAGGGGCTCTGAGCAAGACTGAATCAGCCCTTGCTCTCTTGTAGCTTATAGTCCAGAAGGAGATAAACATTTATTTGTGTGATTATTTGTTTAACGTGGAAACAAAACAGCTGTGGTAAGAAGGAAGTATTGGGGGACCTTGACTAGTCAGGGGGTTAGAGATGACTTCTTTAATTGAATATAATTTGCAAAGAAAACATAAAAGGCCCTCCTATTTTTTGCTTATATTTAAAATTACTCCTTTAATGCATTATTTTCAAGAACAATTTTTATTTTCAAGTTACTCGTGAAACAAATACAGTTGTAAAGCTTGAAAACACTGAAATAGGCACAAGTGTAATAATATATGTATGAAAATTTGCTGTTTCATTGCTCCTGTATGCACTAAGTGAATAGATTTTGAGAGCTTCTCTTCTGCCTCAGCTTGAGTTGCTTTTCTTTACATCCGAAGGATATAGTGAAATTTCCTCAGTGAGGGCTATAAAATTCGTCTTTTAACATCCACTTGTAATTTTGCTAGATAGTAATGCTCAATGTTGGGTTACAAATTAACGTGAAAAATCTTAAAGTTAGTGATGTGAAGTTTAGGATATGATTAGAAAACTGTGAAAATAATTGTTCTAATATTTAATTAGTCATATATATTGCCCTGTAGTTATTTAAAGGCTACCTAAGAGTTTTAATTTGTATAATTTCTAGTATTGCTCCTGAAAATCCCATATTTTGAATACACACTTGAAGATATCTTTTCTAAAAGATCTTGGCAGTCTTTCTCTTAAGATTTCAGAAGTGCCTCTTGTAATCTCAGCAGAAGTGTATGTTAATATATCCTAACCTTCTTTACGGCTTTTATTCCTTTGCCTTGTAGTCTTCACTATTCTGACAGTTCTGTATTTTCCCCTCTTTATATGAATTAGAAGTATTATCATTTGACTGTGAGTAATTTTTAAAAGATTTAAATTTTGTAACTTTTTGTTTGAAATGACAGGATGTGCAAGAAGATGCACATCTTGAAATAAAAACTTTGTTTAATTTTTGGCTACACAAGGTGGCTTGTGGGATCTTAGATCCTTGACCAGGGATGGATCAAACCTGTGCCCTTGGCAGTGAAAGCGCTGAGTCCTAACCACTATTTATGAAATACGTCATGCATGCAGAAAATGATTGAGGACAACAGATAGTTTTTACATATTTTTAATGCCTAACAATTTTTAAGTTTTACATATGGTGTCAAAACAAGACTTACTGTTTACAATTACTAATTGTCATTAGTTAATTGTGAAGAGTATGTACTTTTAAGTCTGTTTTATACCATTTTAATTAGTGGCAACTTTGATATTTTATTTTTGATTATTGATCTTTTAATATCAACTCTCAAATCCCAGTTCAGTTGTATATATTAAGCATTATGTATGTGGGAAAAAGTGACCATAATATTTTGTTTCATTTGTAAAACAGTTCTTACAGTTTTCAAATCTCATTTTTCTTGAAACTAACTCTAGGAAGTATTAAGGGGGAATAAGAAAAATAAAATATTTTCCTGCTTCGGTTTTATAATTCAAATTTTGAGACTGACATCGTCTATTCTTTGATAATTGTTTCTCTCATGGCAGCTCCCCACTACCTGCCCCCTTTGCTGGATCAGTGCTTTGCAGCTAGTTGATGATTAGTAAATATCAGCTGACTGATTTTGACCTACTATACATTCTCATATTTGTAGCTCTTAGGAGAATGTACATCATTTTGAGCAAGTTGTGAGTTTAAAACTTGGGGTATGAAAGCTAACTAGGAAGGGACAAAATGTCTTGTCAAAAGGAAAATTTGCTTTGTGTATTTGGAGTATAAGTACTAATCTGGTAATTCATTGAATTGCTTTCTTGAAATTATAATCCTTTTGTTAATAAAGGACTAATAAAAATAAAGAAGCAGGAATTTCCTTGTGGTCCAGTGGTTGCGACTCTGTTTTCACTGCCAAGGGCCCAGGTTTGATAACCAAGGTCCCACAAGCAGTGTGGTGTAGAAAAAAAAAAAAAAAACCCCAAAACAAAGAAGCAAACTCAGAATTTAGGAAAACACAGTCTCTGTTGATCATATAAATAGTATCACCCTGTGATCCACATAGCCTTAGCAGGATTGTTAACTTGTTTGCCATTACCCTTCCTCCTGAGCACAGAACTGAGCCTTAACTCAGGCTCCTTGCTCTAGACTTTACTACTGCATCAATGCCAACTTCCTGGGGGAGGGCTAGTCTTACCAAACATGCTAAGTTATGTATCCATTTATTTTTTATTATCAGGACAGTATGTGTTTTACTCAAAATTAACAATCAACAAGTATTTGAATGCCTTCTACTAAATGCCACATGCTGCCTCTGGCCACTGTGTCTTCAGTGTTGAGCAAAGGATAAGGTCTCTGTCCTCATGAAGTTTATAGTTCAGTTGGGGAGTCAGGTAGTCAGTAAGTACACAGATTATAATAAATGGGCTTCCCTGGTGGCTCAGACGGTAAATGGTTTGCCTGCAATGCAGGAGACCTGGGTTCAGTTCCTGGGTTGGAAAGATCCCATGGAGAGGGAAATGGCAACCCACTCCAGTACGCTTGCCTGGAAAATTTCATGGACAGAGAAGCCTGGTGGGCTACAGTCCATGGGGTTGCAGAGTTGGACATGACTGAGTGGCTAACATTTTTATAATAAATGATGAAGTAAACCTACATGGTGTTGCACTTCCCAAATTTGGAGAATTCAGTTTTGATTAGGAAGTTAGGGAAGGCCTCTTTATGGAGGTGAGTCACAGTGAAAGGACGACTTTGTTAGGATTACTTGGTCTAGGACAAGAAGGAGACTGGGCGTATTTGAGAACTTGGATCATTTGAGGCTGTGTGGCTGGAGGGATGAATAGAGCAAGATATGTATAGGCCATGTTAGGGAATACATTGTATATGTGTATGTTTAAAATAGCATTTCATTAAAGTAAGTGTTAACTATAGAAGAGTGCAGAAATAAGTGTACAGCCTGATGAACTTTCACAAAGGCAATATACCTGTGTATTAAGCACTCAGATAAAACCAAACAGAACATTAACAGTACCCCCAATGCTTTCTTCCAACCACCTCCTGACTTCTAATGCCACCATAATGTGCATCACGTTTTTGATTTTTTAATAAATGGAATAATACAGTGTGTATTTTTGTGTTTGGTCTCTTTCACTCAACGTGTATGTGAGATTCATCTTTGTTTTCTGTAGCTGTAATTCATTCCATTGCCCACTGTATGAATATAGATAAAAATGTATGTATCTATTTTCTCATTGATAAATATTTGGATTATTTCCTAATTGGGCCTGTTGTGAACAATGATGTTATGAACATTCTTATATTGGTCTCCTGGTTTATGTGTGTAAGTTTCTGTTTAGGGTAGATATCTAGGGGTATAATTGCTGGATCATATAATCTTTAGCTTTCCCAGATAATGCCAACTATTTTTTAAAGTAGTTGTTCCAATTTATACTGCCACCAGCACATTGAAGGATATGATTGGGTTTTCTGTTGCACTACACAGCATTCCAAATCTTAGTTCCCCAACCAGGGATGGAACCTGTGCCGGTGCAATGGAAGCGTGGCGTCCAAACCACTGAGCCTCCAAGGAAGTCCCCAGATTTATGTTTTTAAGAGATAACTCTGTGTAAATTTAAAAAAAAAAAAACAACAACTAGAAAACTAGCTTTTACAGCAGACAAAAAATAGTCCACAACTATATCTGACATTGGAATAGCCAATGGATTCTGTATTATTTCCAGCTAATGCGTTTTGCCATTCATAAGCAATTGACCTTTGTCTCCTTTACTTCTGTCATATTCAGGATTTACAGAACAAGGCTTATACACTCTGTTTAGAAAAATTAACAAATTTAATTAGTCTCCTCTATTAGAGCCAGTTTTATTTCAAGGGTTTACACAATGTAATATATCCTATTCAGACTTATATAGCAGTAGGTTTTCCATGTGCAGTACATTGTAATAATTCATGAGTAATTGGGATTGTATGAGTTTCATTATAACAGTATAATGAAAGAACCTCAAAGATGTATAACTAAAGGCAACTTTTCAAATCCAGATGATAAGATTAATTTTTTAGATTTTTGGGGTATGTTAGTATTTAATTATTTATAGTGGTTACTTGTGGAAATGATTGAAATTATAGTGTGTTTCAATTTGTTTAGTTTTGAGGGGGGCTTTTTATTTTATTGTGGTAGAAAAATTTATCTGCAATAAATTTTTAAGGGTACACTGCAGCATTAGCTATATGCATATTTTACAAAATTTATTTAGTTTTGATGCAGTATTTGGTATGAATTCTTACTTCATCCTGAATTCATAGGTTAACTTTAGGTTATAGGTAATCAGGTTTGAATTTTAAACTGTAGTGACTGACAAACAATTGTGAGAATTTTTCTTTTATTTTAGAGTTTTCTTGGAGGATTTTTTGGTCCCATTTGTGAGATCGACGTTGTCCTTAATGATGGGGAAACCAGGAAAATGGCGGAAATGAAAACTGAAGATGGCAAAGTAGAAAAGCACTATCTTTTCTATGATGGAGAATCTGTTTCAGGAAAGGTAAATATTTTGTTTGGAGAATTATCTAGTTGTAGAATATTAGAATTAGTCGTGAAAGTGCCTTGTGCTGTATCTAAATTTGAATGATTTTATTAGAGATGGAAAATGTTTTTCAGAAGGTCAGCTAAAAGCTTTGATTCAACAGAACACTTGCAGGAAAGAGTCTTAAACTGAAATGGTTACTGAGCAGAGTCTAAATTAAACTGTGTGGAGAATTTTGTGTTTGTGACCATGTGAATCTGTTTAACTTCAGACAGTTTCTACAGTGGGGCTGTGACCCACTCACAGTTTGTTTCTCCTTGAATTGAGTTATGGAGATTGGGGATAATTCTCTAGTGCCGCTTTCTAAAAGTGTTTTCTCATTCTTTGTAGGTTATCAGTCTGTACTACTGTCATTGTGTCTGTTGATCTCATTTCTTGATACTCTATAGAGGATTTAAGCACATTTAGAATGTGTCCATGCATGGTCAGATACATTTGTGATACCTTCTGTGGTTTAACTTTTTCCCCCTTTTCCTTGCCAAGGATTATTCTTATACCTTATGGAATATGATTACTACTCATTAATTTGTGATACTGAAGAATGGTCATATCCTAGATAAAATCAAATCATAAAATGTTTGAAATAATTTTTCTAAATATAAAAGATTAAAAAAACATTAAGAGTTTTTCTCTCCTGCTTGTTAAGGTAATACATACACATGGCAAACTGTTTGGGAAATAAAATAATTATCTATAGTCCCATCATATGGAAATAACTCACTATTAAAATTTGAATATGTTTCTTCCTAGTCTCTCTGCATTAGTTAATGTTTATGTATATGTAATATATTAAACATACCTTTTCCCTACTGTTGGATATTTAACTAGTTTCTATTTTTCAAATTGCTTGTAGTACATCTCCATAGCTTTAGTAATACAGACATTTTATACATAAGTTTTTCTTCAGATTTCTGTAGGATAAGATTATTTCCTTGGAATGAATTCCTAGGAGTGGCTGGACATGAATATTTTTCATGAATATTTGAAGGGTATCGATACATGTTAACCTGGAAAATTTGAATGAAATCTCATGTTCACTTAATACTTTGTTTCACTCAGGGTAGAGAGTTGAATATGATCACTTTTTAACCTTTGCTATTTCTGTAGGCGAAAATGATACTATTCTTTGATAGCATTCTTTGGTTACTAGATAGGTTGAACTTAGGTTTACTAGCTGTTTTACTGCATCATCTATTCTGGTCCTTTGCTACTTACTGGTGTCTTAGTATTAAGTCTGAAGTAAATGTTTTGCTTTTCTACTTTACTCTTCCTTTAAAATGATGGGGAGAAAGAGAAGAAATCTGAAAGAGAGTGACAAATTCATTAAAAGGATGGAACACATCAAACAAGTAAATAGTGCTTGATCTATGGAAAAGATGAGTTGTTAATATGGTGGGATTAGAAGGGGTGGAAGGAAATGGCAACCCACTCCAATACTCTTGCCTAGAAAATTCCATGGATGGAGGAGCCTGGTGGGCTACAGTCCATGGGGTTGCAAAGAGTCGGACACGACTGAGCGACTTCACTTTGACTTTGACTAGAAGGAGTAGAGATACCAATCTAGTTTTTCTAGGGAGAGACTGAACCTCAGATTTTCAAAATTTATAGACATAACACCACCAAAAACAAGTCTTACCACACTAGTTTAGGCTTTGTAAAATGTCTGAATATAGTTAAAAGATCTTTGGGCTAGGGTTGGAAGATCTAGCCTTGGACTTTACCACTGTCTTGATAGGTAGCTCTGGGCAGTCATTTACCTTTCTGGATCTCACCTGTAAGTTGATGTTGGACTAAATCATTGATTTCCAAACTTTGTTATGCATTATAGGAAGAATACTTCATGTATTAGAAAAAAAAAATCTTAGAGACTGGAAGACCTGACATCCTACCCAGAGCAAGAATATTCCTGACATGTGAGCTGTCTATGTATACCTTTTTTTCCAGGTTTTTTCTAAGAGTATTTTTAGATTTATGTAAAATTGAGAAGGAGGTATAGAGATTTCCCATTATCGACATCAGTCCCTAGAATGGTACATTTTTGATCAAGGATGAACTTACATTGACACATTATAGTCACCCAAAGTCTGTAGTTTACCCAAGGGTTTACTTGTGGTGATGTATATACTTCTATGGGTTTGGACAAATGTATAATGTATAATATATAATAATAATATACTCTACAAATGTTGTGTTTCCTTTTCATTAGTGCTTTTTGTATCCTATTTAAGACAGCTTTGCCTACCTTGTGGGCATGAAGATATTCTCCTGTTCCCCCTATAATTTTAAGTAGTTTTATATTTCACATTTAGATTCTCTGTTTCTTTAAATTGATTTTGTCTTTATGACATGAGTCAGGGCTACTTATTATTTTTTTCCCCATATGGATATCTAATTGACCCAGGACATTTATTGAAAAAGCCATCCTTTCCACCACTGCATTGTAGCATCACCTTTGTCATTAACCAGAGGTTGTATGAGTCTGTTTCAGCCTCTCTGTTCTATTCCATTGTTTTATTTGTGATATATACTTTCATTACTTTTTTTAAAAAAAATAGCTTTATTGAGTTATAATTCACATATCATAAATTTACCCTATTGAGTATATACAGTTAAGAGATTTTCACTACTTTTGCAGAGTTGCGCAGCTGTCATCACTAGCTAATTCCATAATGTTTTCTTCACCCAGAAGAAACACCATAACATCAGCAGTCATTCACTTGGCACCATATACTCAATGTTTGTGTCCTCATAAGATTCATGTGTTGAAATCCAATCCCTAGTATGATGTACTTGTAGGTGGGGTGGGGCCGAGTGGAGGGGGAAGGAGAGAGGCTTTGGGAAATGATTAGGTCATGAGGGCTGTGCCCTCGCGAAAGGGATTAGCATCCTCAAAGAAATCTTGTGTGCATCTTCTGACATGTGAGGACATAGTGAAAAGGCAGCCATCTGTGAACCAGAAGGCAAACTCTCCCAGACACCAAATCTGCTGGTGCTTTGATCTTGAACTTCACAGGTTCCAGAACTGTTAGCAGTAAATTTGTGTTGTTTTTAAGCCACCTAGTCTGTGGTTTTTTTGTTACAGCAGCCTGAGTGAACTAAGACACCTAACATCCACTAATCTACAGATGTACTTTCTTTCTCTCTGGATTTGGCCTGTTCTGGACATTTCTTGTAAATAGAATCATACAACATGCCGCCTTTGTGTTTGGCTTCTTTCACTTAGCATGATGTCTTCAAGGTTTATTACTTTTAAGAAAATTTTTGGTCAATAATATAATAAAATTTGCTGTTTTAACCATTTTTAATGTATATAATTCAGTAGCATTAATCACATTCACAGTGTTGTACAATCATCACCACTATTTTGAAATTTTTTCATCATCCTGAACTGAAACTTTGTACTCATTAAGCAATAGCTGTCCTTTTCCCTTTTCTCCCAGTCCATGAATACCTCTAGCCTACTATTTTTCCCTGTAAATTTGTCTGTTCTGGGCTTCTTCTATTTCATGTAAGTGGTTACACAAGATCTGTCTTTTTGTGTCTGCCTCATTTCATGTAGCGTAATGTTTTCAAAGTTCTTTCATGTTGTAGCATTTATCAAAGCAGGATTCTTTTTTATGGCTGAATGATATTTTAGTATATATCTGTCTAGTATGTGGATGTACATTTCTTCATCCTTCAGTAGAGGACATTTCAGTTGAGTATACTTGGGTTTCTATTTATTGATCATTAACATTTCTGTACATTTGTGTATATGTTTTTGTGTGACTGTGTTTTCATTTCTCTGGAGTGTAGACTTAAGAGTGGAATTGCTGGGTCATGTGTTAACTTTTAGGGGAACTTCCAGACTTTTCCAGAGCAGCTGTGCCATTTTATATTCTCTCCAGCAGTGTATGAGAGTTCGTTTCTTCACATTCTTGGCAATCCTTATTATTGTCTGTATTATTTTTTTGTGGGTAAAAAGTGGTCATATGGTTTTTATTTGCATTTCCTTTAATGATGAATAATATTGAGCATATTTTCATGTGCTTATTGCTGTTTGTATATCATCTCTGGAGAAAAGTCTGTTCATTTATTTGACCATTTTTAATTGGGTTATTTGTCTTTTGATCATTGAGTTGTAAGAGTTCTTTATGTATTCTCAATACAAGTCCTTTATCAGTAATATTTTGCAGACATTTTCTCTACTTCTGTAAGTTGTCTTTTCACTTTCTTGATGGTATCTTGAAGCACTAGTTTTTTGTTTGATGATGTCCAATTTATCTTTTTTATAAATTTCACTTCTCATGCTTTTGGTGTCATTTGAGAAAGTTTCCCATCAGAGATAATGAAGATTTACACCTGTGTTTTCTTCTAAGAATTTCATAACTGTAGCTCTTAAATTTAGGCCTTTGCTACATTTTGAATTAATATTTGTGTATAATGTGAGGTAGGGATCCAATTTCTTTGTTTTGTATGTTGAGATTGAGTTGTTCTACCATTTGTTGAAAAGAATGTTCTTTCCCCATTGAATTGTCTTGGGACTCCTGTAGCATATACTTTTTTAAAGTTAAACTTAATTGCTGTTTGTCAAAAAAAAGGCTGCAAAGAAGGAAACACAATTACCCATAGAATTTTTCTTTTCTGTAGTTTAAAATATATAATTGGCATTATACTTGTATACAATTTGACCATGCTTCCTACATGTAACATATCATGCACATCTTCCCACATCATTAAAAATTCTTTGACCATATTATTTTTATACTTTAATTATACTCCATCATGTGATATACTCCAATTTAATTATTTACTTCTTTTTCTGACATATTAGTTTGGAAGGTGAGTAACTTAACTCATCCTGGTTATAGATGTAGAAGATATAGAAGCATGAATATTTTAATTACATAGTTTATAAACAGAAGTATTTGAACTTCTTTTTATTGGTTCTTGATTTCTGTTGAGAAGCACTGTTTGAAAGAACAGCTTTTAAGAGTCACATTACCAATATTTTTTACAGTAAAGAACAAACCTGGGAGTATATCTTTTTTTGTATTTTAGCTAATCCGTAAAAGGTTGAAATTTTGTTTTTAATATCTGTGTACTTTATATTTTGTCAAAATATATAATATTAAGGTTTCCATTTAGCAGATACAAATTTAGGGATTTTAGATTATATACTTAATTTCAAAAGTATGTAAGCTATATCATACTCAAAATTTAAATCTTTAGACATTCTATTTTTAGGATGCGTAGCAGACTCTGGGCAATAACTGTTGCTTTTAATATCAAAAATTATAGCAATATATGCTTGGTTATAAAAAGCTGAAAGTGATCTTTTAGGTCAGTTCTTGGAATTATTAATAACCTTTATATTAAGATGCTATTATAGAATTGTTTAACTATTTGACCAGAAAACATATTTGAATAGTTGAAAGTTTTCCCTTTTATTGATTCTTTGTAGTTCTCCAGCTCTAAAGAAAGATTCCTTCCTAACAAAGCAGATGCTTTAAATGTATGTATAAGTAATAAGTTCATTAGTGATTGTATAGGAGTAAGTTTTACCTTCTCTGGAGCTATAAGGTCATCATAATCTAGGTATGTGGTGGTTTCTCAGACTTCAGAAATGAACACCTGAAGTATTTATATATTATATTCATCTGGAAGGAATCTGTTAGTAGGCCCACAAAGGATTGTTAACATCTCTTATAATTTCATGTTTTGGCAGGTGAACCTAGCCTTTAAGCAACCTGGAAAGAGGCTAGAGCACCAAGGAATTAGAATTGAATTTGTAGGTCAAATTGGTGAGTTTTAAAATAGTATTACTTTTTTTGTTGTTAACTGAGTTTGAAGAGAGTTTGATTTGGCAGTTAAATAATTGAATTAGAGTTTAGCTTTATGGAAAGAAGGAATTGATTTTGCATAATAAAAGGATTTATTTTATAAATATTAAATAATCATGTTTCTTTTAATTCTGTTAAATGATATTTGACTCATGCTGCATTTACTTGTGATGAAATCTGATTATTAAAGGTGTGAGGAATTATGTAAGCTACCAGTCTTGAAAAATACTTCAAGTAAATTAGGTGACTCCCTGAAATTTCCATCTGCCTAGGTTTTTCACCAGCTTTATTCACAATTAGCAGTGTCACCTTCATCCTTCACTTGCTAATTACTCATGCCATTTGTCTTCCTAACTTTTATACCTGTAGCCAGACTCACCTGTCAACAGAAAATTTCATGTGAAAAGGAAAGTTGTAATTTCTTCTTAACTTAGATCAACTTGTGTATGTTTCCATACATATATTTCTTGCTTTAGCAGGAGTTAAACTATATTGGGCAAATCCTAACTACACTAAAGGAATGAATTCTTTCATAACAGAAATTTTCATTTTGCTATACCACTTGACTTTTTTTATGCCTATGTGGAGCAAAATAGGATAATGGAATTCAGATCATAGCTCTGATAAAGTGAAGGCAAATCCAAGTAGTTTTTTTGATAAAAATTATTTGCTTTGGAAGTAGAAGTTTGGGTTTTGATGAGATGGATATCAAACATAATTTGTCTTTCACCTTTTAAAATTTCTTAGAGCTTTTCAATGACAAGAGTAATACTCACGAATTTGTAAACCTAGTGAAAGAACTAGCCTTACCTGGAGAACTGACTCAGAGCAGAAGTTATGATTTTGAATTTATGCAAGTTGAAAAGCCATATGAATCTTACATCGGTGCCAATGTCCGCTTAAGGTATGAACTGATTTTGTCTACATTTTATGTTATGCAAACCAGAAGGTAATGACTATTATTGAATGTCTTGAACTTCTAATTATAATTTTGGACTGGAAGACTTAAGATTTTGAAAATTCTTTCAAATATATATATATTTTTTGTCTGGCTAATGCATATCTGATGTAATAAGATCCTTCTATCAGGGGTGTGTGTGTGTGTGCACGTGTGTGTGCACTCGTGCTTAGTCATGTGCAACTCTTTGCGACCCCATGGACTGTAGCCTGCCAGCTCCTCTGTCCATGGAACTTTCTGGGTAAGAATACCAGAGTGGGTTGCCATGTCCTACTGTAGGGGATCCTCCTGACCCAGGGATCGAACCTGCATCTCTTGGGTCTCCTGCATTGGCAAGCGGATTCTTTACCACTGTTCCACCTGGGAAGCCCTCTATAGGATTCAGGGAATCCCATTAGGAGAAGTTTTAGTCATATACTTCCCTTGTATGTACCTCAGTTTCTTAGATACTTCATTTGTCTTGTAAATGGAATTACCCTCTAAATCCATTAGTTTCTCAATGAATCTCATTTAGTCTATGGTTAAGAAGTGATGTAGGAAAAAAAAATAATCGATCTAGAGAGATGTCCTCAAATAAGCTTGATGGTAGTACTCCAAATTGATTTAAAAAGTATGTCCACTATTCTTAAAATTGAATTTTGTATTTTTTCCATGGTGAAGGCATTTATTTAAAAATGAAAACTTCTTCACGAAGTAAATTGATCCCTAAGGAATTTCAGGAAGGAGAAAGCTAATGTTTGCTTATTTAAAACATTGAGATATCTCACAGGAGATTTAACTTGTTCTCTCCATTAACTTTTGTAGGTATTTTCTTAAAGTGACAATAGTAAGAAGACTGACAGACTTGGTAAAAGAATATGATCTTATTGTTCACCAGCTTGCTACCTATCCTGATGTCAACAACTCTATTAAGATGGAAGTGGGCATTGAAGATTGTCTACACATTGAATTTGAATATAATAAATCAAAGTAAGTACCTTTTACAAACAGATAAATAGGGAAAATTAAGAAATAAACCTTTTATGTCTTTGTAAATTGGTCAAAGAAAGGATAGAATAGACATTAATCTGATGTTAACAGACCATCAGAATCTGTGAACTGAAAGAAACTTTAGTAGGAATTTGGTTTTGTTTTAGTAGGAATTTGACTTGGTGTAGATGTCTTTTGTATTCTATTCCGGGTAAGACTCCGCTTGGCCGTATTTTAATAGAGGAGCTCACCATCTCAGAAGGCAGCTAATTCTGTAAATCTGTGAAAATTTATCTTACTCTTTTGGCATCATTTTGGCTGGTCATCTCTTTAAAAATAAGCAGAAATGCTCTTTTTTCTGACTACATTTCAGTACTTTTTTATTATTAAAAAAAATTGACAATGTAGAAAAGTCAAGGGAAATAAAAATACCACATATTTTCACCTTTACCACTTAACCACTATTAATATACTCTTGTATAGCTTTCCATGGGAGGGGGCATATATATTTATATATGTTGTGTTTTTTTCAGAAATGGGCTGTTAATTTTATTTATTAATGTCTTTTTAAACTTTCACCAAAGTATATATCTAAAAATATTAATAATTTCTTAACATGTTCACATATCTAGTCAGTATTCATTTCCTTAAATGACTTATAAAGTTTGTTCATGTCAGTATCCAAACAAGATTTGTTCAAATCCAGTGGATCCAAACTCACTTAACAAACACACTAATCAAAAAACATTTGGTTTTCTGATACTTAAATCTGTTTTATGTTTTCCCTTTTATTTATTTTTTCATTAAAGTTTGTTTGTTGAAGAATGGTCATTCTTTTATCCTTTTCCTGTGCACTCTTCTGGTATATGAATTTTTAAAAATATATCTCTGTATTATTGACTGTGCTGGCTCTTTGTTGCTGCGGGCGGGGTCTCCTCTCTAGTTGATGTGTGTGGGCTTCTCATTGCAGTGGATTCTCTTGACATGGAGCACGGGTTTTATGGTGAGCATGCTTCAGTAGTTGGGACTCACAGACTTAGTTGCCCCATAGCATGTGAGATGGTCCCAGATCAGGTATCAAACCTGTGTCCTATGGATTGCAAGGTGGATTCTTAACCACTGGAACCACTGGGCCACCAGGGAAGCCCTACATGATTTTAATTGCTTGTCATGTCCCAGTTTATATCACTGAAATTGTGATATACATGTGTTCAGAGTCTTAAATGATATTGTTGATAAAATGATTAGTTTAGGACCTAAAACTTGTCACTGGAAGTCTCCCTTCAGAGAGACATAATTGCATTAGTCAACTCTTGGGATATTATTTTGAGATTCAAACCTGAGAGAAGGTTTAAAAAAAAAAAAAAGCCCTCTGGGAATTACAGAAGTTCCCAGGTTTATTACCACATTATTTCGAGATTCTTGGGAAAATTCTTTGATTATTAGGTATTACAGCAAAAAACTCAAGTCTATGGAGTCTCTTTGTGACCAGGTGATTTTTTAACTGTACTATTCTAGCACTTGGAATAATACACTAAACAAATGTATAAAGTTTTAAATGTTCGGAACATCTTCATATGCCAAACATTTTCAGGCATAAAAATCTTAATTTTCCCCGCTTGAGTTCTTTAGAAATGAAGTTGACCTCTAAAGAGGTGACTAACAATTACTCTGGCTAATTTTTCCGTCTGAGGTTTACTGATGATTGAGTAAAAGTTTTTTTTTTTTTCCTAATTTTTATAGTAAAATGATGAATACTCTTTTGAAAAAAAAGGAACATTAAATACATGAATAGCCAGAATGTTATTCTTAAATAGTAATTATCCTAAGTGAAGTCGCTCAGTCGTGTCTGACTCTTTGTGACCCGGTGGACTGTAGCCTACCAGTCTCCTCCATCCATGGGATTCTCCAAGCAAGAATACTGGAATGGGTTGCCATTTCCTTCTCCAGGGGATCTTCCCAGCCTTGGGATCAAACCCAGGTCTCCTGCACTGCAGGCAGACGCTTTACCCTCTGAGCCATCAGGGAACTCAGTAATTATCCTACAGATATCTAATAAACCTTTTCAGGACATATTTCACTCTTTGTTTTGTAAACTGATATTTAGTAAGTGACAAATATTCTTTCCTTAAAGGTATCATTTAAAGGATGTGATTGTTGGAAAAATTTACTTCTTATTAGTAAGAATAAAAATCCAACATATGGAGTTACAACTGATTAAAAAAGAGATCACAGGAATTGGTAAGTTAAAGGGTACTTGAAGTTCATTTTAGTTGAAATTTTAAAATCTTAAAATACTGTTTAAACTTAAATATCCACCTTGGCTACTAACTTTGATACTTAATATTGCTGGCAGTGAGTTAACTTATTTATGTTTTGAAAAATTAGTTTTTGAGTAGATAATTCAAATGGTTCAAAAATAAAATGTGAATGATCATACAGTAATAAGTGTCCTATTTGTGTATTCCAGCTACTCATAGGTGATACAAGTTGTAAAGTCGTTTAAACATTTATCATACACATGCAAGTGCCTCTTTATTACACCCTTCCTTTTAGTCAAGTGGTTATGTACAGTGCATACTGTAGAGACACTTCAGTTAACAATATCATTTCACATATGTTGGTTTATGTGCAAAATAAAATCTTAGAAGTGGAATTGCTGTTTCCAAGGGTATATTCATTTGTAATTTTGATTATTACTATCAGTTTGTCCTCTTTATGGACCGTACCAATTTGCATTACTACCAGCAATGAATGTAGGAAGGTGCCTTTTTTTGCCATGTGTTCTCATAAGCACAATGTTATAGAACTTTTAGCTGATCTCATGGGAGTGGGGAAGAGGTTCCCCATTGTAGTTTTGATTCATTTTTCTCATTCTGAGTGAGGGTGAACATCTTTTCACGTGTATAAAAGCCGTTTGTATTTCTTTCCTATAAACTGCCTACCCATATCCTTTGCCCCATCTCTATTGAATTATTAGTCTTTTCCTTTTGATGTGTAGAAACTCTTTATATATTAGAGAAATCAATCCCATTTTCTGTATTAAGAGCACCAAATTTCCCCAGTTTGTCTTGCTTATGGTAGTTTTTACCATGTAGAAGTTCTTGACATTTGTGTAAGTCACATTTGTCAGTTTTTCCTTTTACGGATTCTGGCTTTTGTACCACAGTGAGAAAGGCCTTTTTTACATTGAGGTTCTAAAAATAATTTTCTGTGCTTGATTCTACTAAAGTAATACATTATAGTTTAGGAATTGTGTTTAAAGTTTTAATTCATTTGGAATTTGTTCTGATGTAAGCAAGAAACAGCTATGGGTCCAGCTTTACTTTTCTCCAGATAGCTGATGAGTTACTCCAAATCATTTATTCGTTCATAACTGCTTTTTAAATTTTCTTTCTTTTTTTTTTTGGCTGCACTGTGGGGCTTCTGAGATCTCAGTTCTTTGACCAGGGATCAAACCCATGCCTCCTGCAGTGGAAGTGCAAAGTGTTAACCACTGGATCTCCAAGGAACTACCTATTTTTTCCCCTAGTTTTAATTAGTATATAGATTTAATTTGTTCCCTTTAACTTTCCTGGTTTTCTGCTAAAAAGAATTTTAGGCACCACTTTTTAAGAATTTATAATCGATGTCATAAACATCTGTAGTTTCTTAATCTCCATTTTTTACCTGCTAAAGTGATTTAAAGATATTAAAACCAAACTCCAGTTCCCCATTTGTTGTTTAAAAAATTATTTAAACATTTTTTCTAGTTATAAAAATTATGTTTGGGTGTTCTAGAAAATTTTAAATAAGAAATAATTTGTACTCATAATCCAGAAAAGAACTTAGTCTTTGTATGTTATATACTTTACAACATTGGGATCATTACTATATGTTTTGTTGTACTTTTTATAAACTTGTATCATTGACTCTTCATAAAGAACTATATGTCAATTAAGTATTCACTTTGATATTTTATCTCTGTTAAAGTTAACAAGAGAAGACATTTTGGGTGTTAGAGAGAAAACCAGCATGTCGGTGCACTGCTGTGCCTTTCTGGTTTCTATTTTAGCAGATGTTAGAAATGATGGAAGGAAGTCTGAAGATTATTTCTGAGCGTATACAGTTGACCTGTGAATAACACGAGGTTTGAAATGCGTGGGTCCACTTACAGTGGATTTTGTTTAGTAGTAGATTTTACACTACTGTATGATCTGCAATTGGTTGAATCTGCATAGGAAGGACTTCAGCCCCTGCAGTTTTTCGGGTGTCTACTGAATTACCTTTGAGAAGAAGGGAGTGAGACCTCAGTTGGGTGGTAAATAAGTGTAGATCAAGAAATAGAAAAGAATGATCAACATTTTCACAAAAGGGGGAAAGTCAGGACTAAAATAATGTAGTCAGAAAATAGGAAGAAGGTGTAAGCCTGGAAATTAAATTCTAGCAACATTTAATATCATTTACATTATTGCCCTAGGACCCAGTACCACAACAGAAACAGAAACAATCGCTAAATATGAAATAATGGATGGTGCACCAGTTAAAGGTAATAAACTTTTCTTTTACTTCTTTTGTGTTACAGGTAGTACAGATAGCAGTGTTCATGGCAGTTTAGCTTGAAAGTATTTATTCAGTATGAATATGTGAATTCTTAAAATGATTTTTACAATGATTTTTAAGATCATCTTTGTATAAATACTGAGGAGACTGTAGTAGTACTTTCTGGTTTGAAATAAGGTTTAATTTTTTAATCAGCTTAAATTTAGGATTTAGAAAAGACATTTATGTATATCTGTTCCCTAGTTCTGAATTTATAATATTTTGTCTTCTGTTACAAGAGTTTCTCTCTAAATCTTTTTTTACTCATGCTGAACATAAGGTACAGTATAGCTGAGCATTTGTTCTGTGGGATTTTGGAGTTCTATATAGCCCCCGAGAAAATAAGCAGCTCCCTTACTAAATAATTTGCAGTATCTAAGATAATGAAGCCAGTATTTATCATTTTAATTTTTTGTCTTTGGCTTTTTCTCACTCTGTTAGTAATTACTTCAGAGAGTAGTTAACCATTTATTGAGTGCCAACTATTGATGAGGCATTGTATTCTCAGGTGCTCTAAAGTTCCCTTCCATATACACTTTGAGTTAGGTAGTGGTAGCCCTTATTTTATCCCTGAAACTGAGATGTAGAGGTTAAAAACCTGTTAGGGTAGGCAGAACTACCTCTGTCCACTTAGATTTTCAGCTAGAATTCTTTAACAAAAGGTTAATAAGAGAAAAACAGTTTATGTGCATGAATTGCACATCACGCAGGAGAAACCTCGACAAAAAAGTAACTCAAAGCAGTGACTTAGCATTTCAGCTTATATAGCATCTTCAGAAGAACAATAAATTTGGAGAGAAACAATTAGGCAAATGAAAGCAGCTTAGGCTTCCAAGGGTGCAACTATGGGAAGGTAAATATGTGGGAGGAAACTAGCGGAGCAGGCTTGTTTGCAGATTCCTCTGGTGCCATCCCTGGGCTGAAGAGAGGCTGTCTCCAATCAAAGAATTTATATCCTGCCTTTAGGCAGAATAGGGGAATTCTTTTTTGCTTTCACTGCTGTTTAATTGCCTTCAGCTCTGAAATAATTTTAATGTCAAAGAGGCACATTTTTTGGTGACATATTCTTGGTTTCCTTCGAGATAATCATTGCAGAGTTGGCGTTTGAGCCCGGGCCTTTCTGACTTCGAGACTTATGCCTATGTTACTTGGGTGTTATGCAACATTACTTAGTAAAATTCCAGCAGCCACAAATTTTTATGTAAAGAAACCAGTTGTATATCCTTTCCCCCCCCTCTGGTTACAGCTTAGTTTTATTTGGTAAACAAAGGATAGTACACCCCCAAGGCATGACGGTGGGCTGACCCCTGAAGGAGTGGCCCCAACCCATCTGGCCCCTCTTGTACTTTTTGTCTCCTCCCTCCAGCCTGCCCTACATAAATTAGGGCTCGCACCCATCATTGATCAGGAACAAGGCATGTTTGTTTCACCTGAGGTTTCTCCTTTGTTCCCTTTCCATGCCCTCGGTTGTATATCTTTAAGGAAATAGATACACATAAGAAAAATATTACATAAAAAGAATTCAAAACAGAATATGCCAGTAATTACTCTTAGGAAAAGAGAAGCCATCAAGTCACCAAAAATAGCAATCTAATAAGTATTCAAGAATTTATACACATGATGAGAAATGGCAAAATTCATGAAAGCAGAAAGTAACAAAAGTGCTAGGGTAGAACTTAACTGCTGGCACTGTTTTAAGCTTTTACATATATTAGCCCATATAGTCCTTACAAATTCTTTATAAGATGGATACGCTTGACTGGAGTTAGAATTCGAATCCAGGCATTTGACTTTAGAGCTGGTGGTTTTCAGCTAGTTGCGCTTTTACTCCCTCCTCCCCACAGGAAATTTGGCAATGTCTGGAGACATATTTGGTTGTCATATTTGGGGACTGTTAACTGACATCTTGTGGGTAGAAACCAGGAATGCCCTGAACTTCCTACAGTGTATATGACCTTACCCACAACATAGAATTATTGGGCCTAAAATGTCAGTAGTGTCAAGACTAAGAAACTCTGGTCTAAAGTTTTTGTTAGGCTCCCGTCTCAGGAGGAACTGAAGCGTAGTGTCTTTATAATGCTTAGTATTAAGTGTTACGTAACTGTATTTGGTCATCCTTTAGAACTAAATAGAAATTGCTTTTCTTTTAGGTGAATCAATTCCAATAAGACTATTTTTAGCAGGATATGACCCAACTCCAACAATGAGAGATGTGAACAAAAAATTTTCAGTAAGGTACTTTTTGAATCTAGTCCTTGTTGATGAAGAAGACAGAAGGTACTTCAAGCAGCAGGTATGGTGCCACCTACATGGTATTTTGTTCTGTGGTGGTTCTAGAAAAGCACTCACTTTTCTAAGCTTTATTGTACTGAACAAGTGGGGGTTTCTAAGTGAATGAAAACACTGAAGGTGTGACACAGAAGTAAGGCATGAATGGATCTCTGTTGTGATCAGTCTCCTCCCAGTCATTCTGCAGGATTCCAGGATGGGCTATAATTTGGCAGGGCTTTTATTTTTTTCTCTTGAAACTTGTTTTTTATAAAAACAATATCTGCTATTTGTTTTTTTTAAAAATCAGGCAAAAAACAATGAATTAAAGGTCAACAAAAATTCCACCACCATTGTGATAGTTTTCCAGACAAATTTGTGTATTTGTTTTTAGATCATATTATGCATGTTGATCTTTAATTTGCTTTTTCATTCAGTACTGTCTTGAAAAGATTTCCTTTATCAACAAATAAAGATTTCATTTTTCATTACTGTATCCACTTGATGGATTTTAGGTTTCCATTTTTCCCTAATTAAACAATCCTCTTATAAATGTCTTTGAGATGACCCAAATGTTTATCATAAAATTTGTTCTCATTTGAAAATCAGTTAAAAGCTTTTGGTGAATTCTGAGTAAAACCTGTGATTAGAATGGTCTTCTCTGTTCTGTATCAGAGTAATAAATATTCAAATGTCAGTTGAATGCTCAAAGCTAAATTGGAAATTATTCTGGGGGGAGAAAAGAAAGCATTCTGTGCTGAGGACTGTGAAGAATATAAAAGCTACCTTTTTACACACGGTTTTTCCTCACAATTCTCACATTGCATATATGTGGAAAAAGAAAAATTATATAATTAACGGAAAACTTATGGTTTGACAGCAATTTGGAAGAGAGAAAACTTATTCTGCTAATGCTGCCATAATGCTATATAATTAAACATAGGTGATTTGTAACTTCAAATTAGATTATGTGAAATTTACAATTTAAAATCAATTACATATTATGACCTTATTGAGTAGTATATGCCTCCCATGGTCATTCATTTAGATGTTTAAATTCTGCTGTGTTGGTTAAAAAACAAACAGCCTGCTATGACTTCATGAAGCAAGTAATCTTAAGACTTTAGAAGATGAACCCCCCTGGTGGCTCAGGGATAAAGAATCTGCCTGCTGACGCAGTGTCTGGTCCCTGGTCTGGGAAGACCCCACATGCCGAGGAGCAGCTCAGCCTGTGTGCCCGACTGTTGAGCCTGTGCTCTGGAGCCTGCGTGCCGCAACTGCTGAAGCCCGCACGCCCTGCAGCCTGTGCTTCGCAGCAGAAGTCACCACAATGAGAAGCCTATACACAGCAACTAGAGGGGGCTGCCCTCCTAGCTTAGGCGGTCAAGAATATGCCTGCAACGCAGGAGACTGGGGTGCGATCCCTGGGTCGGGAAGATCCCCTGGAGAAGGAAATGGCAACCCACTCCGGTATTCTTGCCTGAAGAAAATCCCATGGACAGAGGAGCCTGGCAGGCTACAGTCCATGGGGTCACAAGAGTCAGACACAACTTAGCCACTACACCACTACCACCACCTGCTTGCTGAATCTTAAGAAAAAGCCTGTGCAGCAACAAAGACCAGGCACTGCCAAAAATAAAATTATTATTTTTAAAAAAGAGTTTAGAAGAGATCTCAGGATGGATTGGTTAGGGTAAGACAGGCAGAAGAATCAAAATTTGAAGAATATAAAGGGGAGGATGAAGGGAAGGTTTAATTTAAGGTGTGTTAGAGGAAGAGTGTAACCCAGTTTGGCTGGCGGGGTACTGGGACCTTGGTAGGGAAGAGTGATGTTAGTAAATTGGATAAAGGTTGTGGAGGACCTTGAACACTGGGTTGGAGATTTATCCTGGAGGAACTGAGAGCTACTGAAGAGTCATCCAAGCAATGTTTTACACTAGTCTGGCAATGATAGGTAGGACAGGTTAAAAAAGGGTTTCAGGCAAGGGAGGGAGAGCCATCTATCAGGAAGCTAAAATATTTAGTGACAAGGGCTTGAATTTGGATACGGACAGGGGAAACAAACTAAATAACAGATTTTAGGAATTCTTTAAAGCAGTAGTAGCTAGAACTTTGTGTCAGTTTGGATTCACAGTGGTGGTGTACATAGGTGTTGGTTGGACTAGCAGAGTTGGCAGAAGGGGAGACCCATTATTAGAATATTATTAGAATTGGAAAAAAGGTCCATCAGGAAAAGAGTAGAGCTTTTGTAGGGAAGAAGTTAGTTTTGTTATGGTTAAAATTGAAGTGCATTATTTCTGTGGTGAAAATTTAAGGCATAATATGAGATATTAATTTGAGGATATTTGTTATCATGCATTTGTTTTCTAGGAGATCATTTTGTGGAGAAAAGCTCCTGAAAAACTGAGGAAACAGAGAACAAACTTTCACCAGCGATTTGAATCACCAGAATCACAGGCATCTGCTGAGCAGCCTGAAATGTGAACTGAATGGGAGAAAAAAAACCTCCTATATCCGTGGAGGTTTAGGTTTGGCTGGTTAGAGATGGTGGCAGCGTGCAGGCAGGGAAAAGGCCAAAACTCCATTTATAATAGTCTTCCTTTATCTTACAGTTTTGAATTTATTTTATGACATAACTGTTCTTCGTGTATATACATTTAAAACGCTTTCTTTGAGACACTGGAACTTTCTTAAACTGCAGTTTTTTGGGTTTTTGTTTGTTTTTTTAACTGCACACTTTGATAATAAGCACTCAGATATACATCAGCATAAACATTATAAAGATTTTCATCTGAGTAGGTTGGTATTTGTACTTGTGCTTTTTTTCTGCATAATGTTGATTATAAATTTTCTTCTCCTTTCTCATGCTAATGATTACCTCTTACTCTTTCTACATGCAAAAAAAATTTGTGTTCAAATAAAATTAGAAAACCTGAGTGGCCCTTACAGCCTGCAAAGATTTAAAACATGGCATCTCAATATTTTTGAAAACTACATTTATGTTTTTTTCTATATGTGTTTGAGAAATGCATACGAGTGTTTCGCTGTAGGTGCCTCTGAGTCTACCACTCCATGGCTTCCTGAATTTTGTTCTCTTTGAAATCTTCTGTGGCACATTACATTTTCCCCCTAAGGGATTACGTAGCATGTCATTGCAGCTTTTTTTTTTTGGGGGGGGGTGACATATTAAGTAACCAATTTGCTACTGCTGTCCAACAGGTACCACTGTATGTTTTCTGCAGTGTGGAGTGGATTCTATGTTGGCAGTTTAGAATTTGTTAAAACTATATGATTGTTCCATAATACTTTGAAAAAAGTTTTTTTTGATTTAAGGAATCTTTTTAGCACTTGTACGCAAATATAAACTTTCTTGCAAATATTCTCTTTTTCAGGAGAAAATTGAGGATGAGGGCACTCAGGAGAACTGGTGAAGCATGTAGTTATCCAGATCTGGACAATTTCACACTTGTTAAATCAGAACCTTGACTAGTTCAAACTCAAATTTAAACTTTGTCCACTATATTTAAAATTTTTTAACATTAAATTCAAGCATTGTTCAAAGCCTCTAAAAAAGAAGGTTACAGTCATCTGTTTTTATGCTATGCATGGGGTATGATCTCAGATACACTAAATACGGGGCGTAGGAACTAAAACCTGATGTATGAAACTACTTTCACTTATGGTTCATTGGTTTTTGTACCAATATTTTTTTATACACTTCAGTGCAAGTCTTGTTAGTTAACCTTACTTTATGAGTAAACTAAGTAATCCAAATTACATTTCTTTAAGCCTATTTTACTACTGTGGCTCTTTGAAAAATGGTCAGTAACCAACTTCTTAACTGGCAAAAAGTTCCATGTGCTGGAGCACCAGTTATAAATGTGGATATCTGTGAATGATGATGTTTTCCTTCATGTAAGTGCCTGTTCAGAGTTTCAAAATTTTAAAATGCCAAATATTTTCATGGTCACTTGCATGTAGTAATCTGGAAAATATTCAAAGAAAAATTGAAAACCAATTGTATTTAACCAGCCTCAAATTGTGCAACCATGATGTATAATAAAGAATTTGAAACAGATATTAAGCTTGCTATTTGAATGATTAAAATATTTATATTCTGAAATCTCTTCTCATTGTCATATTTATCTTTGAGGACAAAATTGCTCACTAGTTTAAGAAGCTGTAATTGTGATGATTAGAAGTGTTTACAAATATCAATTTCAATTTTAAATATATAATTACTTTTAACTAGGTGGCTTAAAACACTGTCATAAATAGGATGCTTATTCAGCTTGCTTGAGAGTTTGTGCATAACCAATTTGAAAAATAAAAATTTGAACAGTATTTGGTGAACTGTAAATAAGTAAATCTGTTAATTAGAAATGAACTGAAAAAAATTTGTGTCTATTAGAGTACAGTATCTAATGCAGTGGTTCTCAACCCTGGCTGCATGTTCTTTCTTTTTTTCATTTTTTATTAGTTGGAGGCTAATTACTTTACAAACTGTTTTTTAAAAATAATCATGCCAAATCCTGTCCAGGCCAATAAAATCAGAATTTCAGGGGCTCAGACAGGCGTTTAAAAACTACCCAGTTATGAAAAACATTGTTCAAACCATTTAATTAGTTATTTCTCTCACTGGTAAAGTTTTCATTGTTTTGAATTGCTAGGAAGGAAAAACTTCTCTGCTGTCTTTTGTGTTTGAGAGCCTACTATTAAACTGACAGATTAGCAAAAGAAAAGGATTCTAATTGAGTTAGAGGACATTCACAAAAATGTGACTTACAGGGGTGGTTAGAATTTGAGGGTTGTTTACCATCTTGCTAGAGGAATGGGGGTGAAGGATACAACTGACTTAGTAGGGGAAGCTGTAGGGAGAAAGGAGCACTAATGGGAAAGTGGATGACTTTTAGGAAAGATAAAGGGTCCTTAGGAGAACAGGTGGTAGATATGAGCATTCTGTAACCAAAGTCTGTTTAGGTGTTATGCCAGTTTCTCACAGTGATGAGTTAATCCTTCAGTTTGCTCCCTGTGAGGGGATTTATGGCAGTGGAGTTCTGGGAGGCTCTGCTCTTAGGCAGCCAGGATTTCAGGAACTCAAATGCATTCTATTAAGAATTTTATGCCTCAGTGGTGTATTCTGGATCCCTTCAATGTGGATCAAGTAGTTGGAATATTCTAATTACTCTGTGAGTCAGCAGTCTTTAATTCCTTTGATATTCAGCTGAATCTGAACATACATAAAGGCCCTCTCGAGCAGGTTTATACGTGCCTGGATTGAAATGTAACACATTTTACAGTTTCAAATCAGATAAAAGCAGAGTGAGGAAAATGTGCACCCTTAAAAAACATTGTTTTTTATTTAGGCTTGAGGTCTTCTTATGTCACTTCCCTGTTCAGAATCTTTTAGTTACTCAATTGCAGGAAAGGTTCTAAATCTATATTACAAAACACCTTCAGCTCCAGTTATGCCAGAACTGGAGAATTTCTTGGAGAATACGTTCCCTTATGCCGGCCCTTCAGTTAAGACTCCAGACCATTTTTGTCTGAAACCATCTCTCTCTCTTAAGTCAAAGTGTTACATGTCCCTTCATTGTGCTGACAAGTCATGCCAGGCACATCTCCAAGACTGTTTACCCCACTTTTAGAAGAGTTTTTAATTGTACGGACTTAGTATGGCTCTTGGGGGTTCAGCCTGTTTTGTTCTGCTATACTTTGTGCTTATAATACACATTAAAATATCTGAGAGAATGGGTGACGCTTATTTTCCTAGAGTGATTATAAAATTAAAGTGGCCTCCTTTAGAAAAAAAATTGTCTACATGTAGTAACATTATGGTAAGAACTGTTAATGCAACTTAGAATTGTTAGAATAAAGGAAATAGACTAGATTCTAGGGATCTTACCAGGTTTTGGAGAGAAATCGAGACAGCAGAGCAGCACCATGTGGACACTACAAGTTCTACAAATGCACTTGACAGTTGGCTCCCTTCCTGACAGGGAGCCTGGACCAGATAAGCTCTGAGACCCCGTCCATGATTCTAAGGGATAAACAATTTGGCATCTAGATCATGATAACCTTACATTAGAAAAAGGCCAGAAATGTCAAAATACAGAATTTGTAGGGAGATGTGAGGGGGAGAAATCTAGAATGCATTTTTGGGAAACCTCAAACCAGGTTTTGTTAACAGCAAAGACAAAGAAGAGAGAACTTGCTTATTTTATTCCCTACCACAAGAGACATCTTTATTTCTCCCACTTCCTTTCCCTGTCCCACATTTGTTTTCACACACACATTCAGCATTTTCCTGTGTGTTTCTTTAGTGCTGTTTTATTGGCCCTACCCTGAAGGAACTATAACCCAGAGCACTGGTTCCCAAAGTGTGGTCCCCAAACCATCAGGATCAGTATCACCTGAAAACATAAATTCCAACCTTGGGCACTACCACAAACATTCTGAATCAGAAACTCCAGAAGTAGGGCCCTAACAATTTTAACAAAATTTCCAGATGACTCTTATGCACCCTGAAGCTTGAGAACTACTACTCAAGAGACACAATTACGATACAATTTTAGTGCTGTAACAGCAGTTGCACTTGACACTCTATGAGGTATGGACTTGAGAAATGATGGCATAACTTAACAACTGGCTTGTAGTTTTGACATGAATCATTCTTTGACCTCTCATTAGCTTATATAATTAGCTTATATATTATATAATTAATATTTGCATTAGTTAACATTAACCCTTCAAATGACCAAAACCAGATTAGAAACTCTTTGAGGGCAAGAGGCTGTCTACTTGAATCCCTGATGTTTAGAAAGTATCCAGTGAATCAAAGGCACATAACATTGTTACTGAAATCCTACTTGACACACACTATTACAGGTCACATGACATATTTCTTCAAGTTGCAAGACCTTGATGTTTTAAGTATAGTAAAGAGATACAAAAAATCCAACGGCCTACCTTGAATTTAATGTTTCAACTTCATATGAAACAGTATCCAACTAATGCAAAAGAAACTGAACTTTGGCCTGGGTACGGGACATATTTTTGCTATGCGGTTGTAACATAGCAGCATATGATGTACACACAGTACTCCTATTAAAGTATAAGAATTTACACGCATGTCATACAAAGGGTTTACCTAAGAACTCAGAATTCCTACGGTCCTGAGGGTAGATCAAGTTATGTTCTCTAACGCTATTCTATCCGGAAACTAAAGTTAATTATCCAAGGAACCTAAGGGAAATGCTCTGCAGTTTCCAATCCGCAAGGAACGCTGGCGCTACATCCCAGTACCCGCATCTCCACCAGAGGCATCCACACAGCTCACAGCTCTGCCCACGTGCTTTGAACACAGACCGGTTCACGGCCAGTTTGTTAACATCACGTGACACACTTCACAGGCCCCCGTCTCTCATCTGTGACTCCCCAAAGGTGCCTGATTATTTTCTTTAAAGAAAGCTGTCTCCAATCGC